TATTATTATTATTATTATTATTATTATTATTATTATTATTATTATTATTATTATTATAATTTGGTTTATTTCGTGGTAGTTAAGTTTCAAATGACCTTATTTAAAGTGTTCTCTAGTCATTGAAAGTCTATGTTGAATGCTGCAGCAGAGCTCAGTATTGCCAGTATGATGGCTTTTTCTTTTGCCTTAGATTAGTGTTAGGTCGCTATTATTAGCGCTCCTCTTATCATGCCTTGGTGGTAGTCATGTACATATTTGTTTCACTTGCTTTTGTTATAATATTTTATCAACTCGAAAAAAAACAAATTTAAGGGTTTTTCTTTTTATTTTCTTTAAACAAAAGATATTACAGCTCGGAAAAAATAATAATTACAAAGTTGGGGGCACAAAGAGCCCAAAATGCCACAAAGCATGAGTAAGGAGACTGTTGTGTACAAATTATTCTTTTTACCGAGTACCGAATCGGAAGATTCGTTCCCCGGGTCGATCTCACGAAGAAGGCAGTTCGGAATTTAGAAATGATATTGATAACACATAAAAACAAAAGAAATCCTAAAAACACGAATCAAATAGGGGGGAAATCGATTACCAACTAAGAAATAAAATAAAAGCAATAATCTACCTATAATTTAAACGAAACAAAGACGGAGAAGCTAGGGAATCAGGGACAATTAATTCAAGTTCTAGCAAGGTCGGGCTATCAATTGTTCAGTTCGAGATTGACACTCTCGCTTATACATCTAGCGGTTCGCTCCCAATAACTCTTCGTAACAAGGGATTGAACATAGACGAACAAGTTCAAGCATACAACACAGGTCAATTATCCCAATCCCAGTAACTTTTCGTAACAAGGGACGAGTCATCGACAAGTGCGTATTTCAATCTAAAACACGTAGATTAGTCAATTACGACATCGTCTACCCCATGTGAGCCTAGGTCAACGACTTCTCCCCTTTCGGTTCTACAAGTCGCTAATTAACAAGAAGGTGTTTAATCAACTAATCATATAAAATTGACAAATCCTAACTCGACTAATCAACATTCAATTGTTACCAATCGCAAGATTGAAGTGTCACTCTTCGATTATATCAATCAATCAAGATCAAATTCATCAATTCCTAATCAAAATAACTCACATAAGCAAGAACAATTTCAAGCCCGAGAGATACAATTCAAACAAGAACAATCATTCCCCTATCCCTAGCGGTAGAAATTAGCTACGTAAATCAAATTCAACAATCATAATCAATTCTCCAAATTCAACCATTATTCATGAGTTAAACAAAAGAGAAAAGAAAATTACCATTAATCTCAAATCCACGGGTTGAACATGATTACAAGCTTAATCCCAAAAGCAAGAACAAATTCTAGATAAAAAATGGAAAATAAAGATTAAGAGAAGAAAAAGATCGAAGAAGAAGGAGAAAGAAGGGAAGAGGAGGAGATTGAGTGTTTTCTCGGGACCTAGGGCTTACACCCAGTCGAGAGATGAATTTTTTTATGTGCAACTCACGATCTTATTTATATAGCTAGCAACAAGCCACGGCGCGAGCAAGGATCACGGGCGTGGCAGTTACATGTGTCGCGGCGCGGGAGTGCACAACGACGTGGC